TCCCCGAGTGCACTCATCACTAATGCAACGGGCGCTGCAATATCCCGTAAAACGTGATAATCGGCCTCCCGAAAACGCATTTCATGCCGCAGGCGCCCCTCTGAAAAGGCAGCCTTGGCAAGCGGCATTTAGCGTTATTCGGTCGCGCGGGAGCGACACACACACACGCGCACACACGCGCGCGCGCGCTGAGAGTGAGAAGGAGAGATGGGGTTGCGAGGCAGCAGCATTGTGCGCCGTGCGGGCTGCACGCACGGGAGAGAGTCCGTCTGCGCGCACTCGACAAACGGCCACTGCTCGCGAGCTTGGCCTGGAATCCAATGCCGTTAATCATTGCCCGCTGACCGAGATCGCGACTCGACAACGCTCGAAGGAGCCGACCAGTTGGCGCGCTCTATCGTCAATCACGGAGGAGTTGGCACGCAATAACGAGATCGGCCGGTCGTAGCGCGCGAGCATTAATAACGAGGATCGCGCGCGCGCGGCGCAATCCTTTGTTCCTCGGCCGGGCGCGCTTGATCGATACGCGAGCGCACGCGCTTTTTTTTCGCTTTCGGCCTCGCGCCACCCGAGGTGCGCGCTCGATAACGAGCGATCTACTCCGGAGACACCTTCGTCGCGCCGTCCACGTGCACCTCCGCACCCGCGGGAGAGCGTCCTACGCCTCGTATAATCGGCGCCGAGCGATCCGCCGACACGCGTAATTGCATGCTCCGTTTTAATAGGACTATTTTTGTACCCGAAAATTCCCCATCACGAGCCGTGAAACGCTCGACAAACACGAAGCCGCTGCCGTCGAAAAAGAGAGAACGAAACGAGGAAGATACGCGCGGCCGGCGTAATTAAAAAAAACGAAGGAAATAGAATGCGAGAGCAGTGCGTAAGACAAAGAGCGCACCGACACATGCGCGCGAGTGAAAGACCGGCAGAGGGGGGAGGTGGAAGTACTTTTTCGGAAGGCATTTACGGCCTCGCGCACCATACATATCCGGCGACTCGCGCGATGAGCATTCGCGATAAGCGTTAGACGCCCCCGCAGCGAACGAGCGACCGTTAGAGGCGCGTGCACGTGCGCGTGCATGCCTTATGAATTCCGCTCGCGAGGCGATTAGAGGCCAGCGCGCCGAGTGACCCGCGAGCGACACGAGGCCTGCCACGGCGGCTCGGACACTTGCAGCTAAGCATAATTAAACGCTTCCTCTCGCGGGGACTCTCTCGCGTTCGTTCCGTCGACGCCGCGGCGATCAGGCTAATTCCATCCGCCGCGTTAATGCGTGTGCGCACTCGCCTCGGATCCGATTGATCCTCGTCGTTTTCGACTAGTTGTAACGAATAGATTGTGCACGCTGCTACTTGGACAAATTGAGCGGCAGAGCACAAATTTTAATCACAATTAGCTGGCTGTAGCACCTGGAAAGTCCCGGTGAATTCTAAAAATGCCTAGGGCACACATGAAAGGGTGTACGCGCACGCAAAAAAGGGACAAAAAGCGAGGGCAGAGAGAAGCGAAGAGAAAAGAGAAGTGGCAAAGGGAAGGAGGAAAAGGGTATCAGCATCGGCATCGCCGCCAACCAGCGAGCGGACGGGCGGGAAAAGCTCGAAAATTAAAAAGCCCCCGTAAATCGCAGAATATTACGGACGGTATATCACGCGGCCGACGCCGCCGCCGCCGCCGCCGCCGCCGCCGTGCGTGTGTGTATAAAAGCTCGGCCAGCGAGCGAGAAAAGGGAAAACGAGAGAGAGAGCGACTTTAATTCGGCTTACGCGGCCTGGCGCATATCGGCGCAGTGCTGCTGCTGCTACTGTTGCTGTTGCTGCTGCTACTGCTGCTGGCGCCGCGATCAATACGCATGCGGACTTTAACGGGGGGACGTCCGACTTCCTTCCCTCTCGCCCCGGCTTTCTCCTCTGTGTGCGTTGCCTAAAAAAAGGGGGACAGGCCAGGCAGGACGAGAATGCACGCGGAAAAGCTCCAGCAGGGGCTGACTGGCACAGCTAGAATCGGAGGGGCTACTGCTGTACTCGGCTACTCCTACGATTCATATGGATTCGCCTGAATTCCTGAGAGTGCATTTATTTTGATTACGACTGATACGAGAATCGAGTTTCACTTCGATCAGCCGCTCCAAAAGCGAGCTGGCTTCATTTGCAATTTCATCGAGAAGCCCGAAAGCTAAGCGATCGCGCGGAAGAGAATAAGTATATCATCGTAGTTGGCTTTCTTTTCAACGATTGCACGGACGGCTCTCTCGCCGTCACATCAGCCATGCTTCGCGCGGTCCTGCCCATGCCAACGCTCACAGCCCTGGTTCGTTTGGCGCGTCTTTGAATGTCACTCATACGAGACGATATCGCGGCATCCGCGGCGCGCGTTGCCTAGATACCTTTCGCTATCCGATGTAGCGCCGCGTGGCATTCTTATTACAAGCACGCGGCGGTGACGCGAGACACGCGGCCCTATCACAAAAGCATAATTCGATTTCGCAGCGCTTAAGTAGAGGCGAGCCCAATTTTTTTCTTTTTTTCGCGCGCCATTTCTCGCGCAAAAGATCCAACCAGGATGGCGAGTGCTTCTTAATTGGCTTGATCTCCGGCTCCCGTGTCATCGCAGTCTTTAATCTTTCAAATTGCCAACGTGTCGTAATGGAATCACATCACCAGTTGAAAAAGGAAGCGTGCGCCGCACTACGTACGTCGAGAATATCGAACGTTCGAGAGCGTTGCTCGCTCAAATGGACTAACTGCAATTTCTTCCTTATAATCGGCGACAGCGAGTAGCTGGTTTATTCGGGCGAGCATGGAGCGCGAGCGGATCCTCGCTGCGTTTCAGGATTACGATATACATGTGCGCGCGACTATAAAAATCGTTCGGCCATGACCCATATCGGCACGTTAAAAGCACAAACTCGTGTCTAATTTTGAATACGTTATACTCCGCATCCACGTCCGCATTCAGAGCAGCTGTGGGATATAGGCGATAGGCTCTCCACGGGGATTCCCCGAGCGCGTAGCTTGTATAACAACCGTCCATTCCAATGCGTTCGATCTATTATTGCATTTTCATACGGTAGCGCGCAATTTTTCAACGAATCGACAAAGTTCTGATCGTCGGCGCGATACTTGCGGCGAAACAGCAGTCGTTGCGAGGAGCGCGCTCGCGTCGTCGTTCGCTCGATAATTACGCACTTAAAAGAGGAAAAAACAAGGGCGTGCATATAACCGAAGAACGCCGGTGCGTGTCTCGCTAGTTCAACGCGTATTAGGTTTGTTAATCTTTAATGGCTACGACTTTCACTCGTGCAGCAAATTGCAGCTCACCCTCGCGCGATTCTCTCTCTCTCTCACGACTCGTAATCATACGGCTATATTGTGTGCAAAGAGCGCAGCTGATACAAAATCTAACTCCAGTTTGCCGTACTCGTCAATTATGTGCACGTTATGACGATTATTTATTCAGTTCTTCTTATGTACTCGGTTTCTGTTAACAAGTTTCTCGAGTTCCCACGCGATGTCCATTATGCACTTGTGGGCTACGCTCGTCGAAACGATCAGCTCAAGTTCACTTTACGCCATCAGTTAACCAGTGTAAATTAGAAATAGAATGGTGGCGTCGCCTTCGAATTCTTCATACTTACGATGTCACTGGAATATTCATTTGCGAGAATTGGCGAAAGCTCGCCGCGAACAATCTCCTGAGCTGTCGCAGAAATATAACAAAAAAAAATACGTGCAAGTTCTCGTGCGCGAGCGCCGATTGCGCAACGAATTTTCGTTAGGCAGGGCCATCGGGATAAAGTACATGCGTACGTCCGCAATTGAACTTCAGTGAACTTGAGCCGACAAGCTCGATCGCTCGTGAAACTGTCGAGCTGAGCAGCAGGCGCAAAAGCAATGCCAGCGAGGCGCTGCGCCTGCGTCGATAGCGCACATCAAGGAGAGAGAGCTTGCGAGGTTCACGCTCGGCAGGAGAAAATTACAGCGCGAGCACGGCCCGGGGCTCCGAAAAGACTTTTCGGCCAGTCGTTTCTCGGTGGACGACGGGAGGGGTGCGCCCTTTGTGGCCGATAATTCGGCAAGTTTTCGGCGCGCTCGCTGGCTCGCTGAGTCGAAGCAGACGGCCGGTAGGTGCAACGTCGCTGCACCGTCCTCCGCCCGTGGCTGGCTTTTCGTGGGCAGCAGCGCGATCACGTAAAGACACGGCCTCGTTCTTTTTTAGCCGCGGCGCGCAACCTGCAGCACCGGCCAGACTTTGAGGAGCCCCGATAAAGAAGCTCCGGCATCCCGATGCGCACGTGCATCAAAGTCGAGCTCGCTACAGATTTCGGCGCGCTCGCTCTTCCGCGACAGTGAGAACTTTGTACAGCACCGGTAGAGTACTGCCGGGGCAAGGCGATGCGCTTCGGGTGAAGCGCCAGGCCGCCGCCGTCTTTCCACGCCTTTTGTCCGCGGCCAACCCATTGCCTTTGCTATAGACTTTCACCTCCAATGCATGAATGCACTCTCTCGCTTCGGTCCAGCGACTCCACGCCAAGGCGATAAAAATATCGTTCGCCGTTGCTGCTATAAACAACTCCAGCGACTCCAGCACGTAGTTGAGCGCTCGAGCGCCCAAAAAATTGCAATGTCGAATGTACGAGGAACAAGCGACTTACCGACGCCCGGCTCCGTTCCTCCGATATAGCGATGGCGAGCTTTCGAAAAATTTACGGCATCCTCAAATTGAAGCGTATGCGATATCCGGCCCAAGCGACGCGAGCGAGACCCCGGCTGCATTTTCTAACGGGGCTTTTCCTCGGATACACGGATACACGCGCACGCCTTCGGAATAACGGGACGCAGCGGCGACTCTCCTGCTGCGCCGGAAAACTTTCACTCTTACTAACGAACGCGAAGGTGCGGCTCGCAGCAGCCGAGAGCACGAGCGAGGCGCGGTTGCGCCAGCCTCGGGTCACACGCCGGAGACGCTGTTCTGGCAGAGCGAGGAAGAGATAGATACTCACCGTCGGGCGTGGTGACAGTGCCGGCTTTGTTGATCTTGGAATTCCACAGGGCAGGAGTGGGTGGTGCCGGACTACGGTCGGGTGTGGGTGGGTGGACCGGCACTCGATTGGGTATCCCCGCGGCAGCAGGGTTGTGTTGCAGGTGCTCGTTACTGTTGTAGTTGACCGAGTTGTAGGCACCACGGTTGCCCGAGTATGCCTCGGCCGAGACGCGTTCCGCCATGTTGTCGTTGCTGCGCTCTCGTTCGCCGTACGAGCCCGGCTCCTGCTTGATTCGCAGATCTGCCGGCAGAAGAATAGCTTAAGCGCTCGGAATAGCACTCGGAAGTCGAGAGGCGGCTGAGAACGAGCGGTGAGGCTGAAAGGCGACGAGTGTGGGGCGCTGCGATGTACGATTACCTTCGGCACCGCTGTCCCTGTTCTCGTGGCTGATGCGCTCGCGTTCCTCGGAGCGCGAACGCTCGTGCTCCCTCTCGAGCTCGGTGGGCGTGTGTGGCGCCGTGTGCGGATGGGTCGGGGTCTCCGGGTGGTTGAACGCCTGGTACATGTGAGTCTCCAGCTGCATTGGATGCGGCGCCGAAGCCGGACGGAAGGCCGCGCCGTCCCGTAGCACCGAGGCCCTGTTCAGGCTGTCCACGTCGCTCGGCGACCTGCGTTTCATTGGATATACAACGGTAAAGGTGGCCAGTCAGTTCCACGTAAACGTTTGTCTGCGTAATCGGGGATTGGCCGAGCGCCAATTAGGGAGTAAGCGTGCAAGCGTGCATCGAAAGCACGCTAATGGTATCCGATTGCCCGAGCCCAGCTGCCGAGCTACATGATAATCTACTTCCAAGATTGCAAAAAGACGAAGAGAAAAGGAGATGGGCAGGCAGGCAGGCAGGCAGGCAGGCAGGCAGGCAGGCAGGCAGGCAGCCAGCCAGCCAGGTAGGTAGGTAGTTAGGTAGGTGGGCCGCAGAGCCGGTTGCGTAAGAGCACCCTCGCTCGGTCGCAACAGCAGGCGCGTGAGGACGCGGAGCACGGTGAGGGGCGAGGGAGGGGGACGGAATAACGGTATCGGCGAGTCGCCGGTGGACGGAGAGGAGCCCACCGAGTCTCACCTCATTAGCCTCTTCTGGGGGCTGTCGTAGAAGTGGGCCGCGGAGTAGACGTTGGGCAGGCTGAAGGTGGGCGCCGGTGAGGGCGGCGCCGGGGTGGGCGTCCTGCGCTTGAAGCCCCGTCCGAGCAGGCAAGTCGAGTTGTCGTCGTTGGCGTCGCTGCCATTGTTATTGCTCGCCGCGCTGCTGCCCGTGAGCGGCCCGTTGCAGCTGCTGGCGCTGTCGCTGCCGCCGCTGCTGCCGACGCCGGGGCCGCCGTTGTGCTGGTGCGCCTCGGCGCCCGCCGCGCCGCTCGTGCCCTCGGCCGCCACGTGCCTCTGCGCCACCGCCAGCTTCTCGTGCTCTATCGACAGGCCCTTCACCTGCGCGCACAAACCAACCGGGCTAGTCGCTAACGGCACGACGGGCGCGCCGCGCGCCTCCGAATCGCGCGGCCTTTGCTCACCTGCAGACACTCGGCAGCCTTGAGAAAGGAACTGAGCGACTCCTGGGACACATGCACCTCGCCGCGGTACATGAACTCGAGCAGGGCCGCCATGTTCTGGGCGCTCGTGCCGTCGAGGATGACTATGAGGCCAGCCGGCGACGGTGGCATGCCCTCGAACAGCTCTTGAAAGTGCTTGCTGCATGCCGCCAAAATCAGCTTGTGTGCTTTGAATGTGACGCCTGCAACGAGAAACAACGGCACGCCGACGTTATTGCTTGTCGCGATTAACGCCGCTGACAGCGTGAGACGGCCGGCCGTTCGGGGCTGTCCCTTAACGCGCGGAGAGATCGCTGCGATTTCCTCACGGCCGTGTTGCGAGATAATCTAATCCCCTTTGTGCGGCCCGCATGAATGAAATCTAAATGAACTTCCTCGTTGAATGCAACAACAGGGCCGCGCGTTTTTTGCCTCGGCATCCCAAATCCTACCCAGTTGTTCATTTTTTTGGCTGCTCACTTTCTCTTTCCGTGGGCGCACCTACGCGCTGGCCCAGGTATACGAACGTTTCTTTGCTCGCATCCACGAGTGCCGCTTTTTTTGCGCGCGTGCGCGAACAAAAACAAAAAAATGAAAAGCGCTCACACGATCGAGCGCATTTAAATCGGAAACGCTCGCGCACGCGCGTGCAAGCGAAGGTCCCGGAAGACGCTGGAAACAATGGCGCGGCAAAGGTGACCGGCAGCCGCGCGCAGCAGCTTTTCGTTTGGCATGCCAAGCAATGGACGCTCGGCGCTTTGCACTCTTGGCGCGCTCCGGCGGCATCGAAAGAAACGCTGGCGCGTGTCACTCGCGGACGGGCACGAGCGGAAAATTAGGAGCCGATCGGCTAGCGACGATCTAACGTCGATAAGGTCGATAGCCTTGGTATGCGCTCGCGCATTCCTCTTCTTCTCTTTCTTCTGTTTCTGGAATTAGCGTGTGTGCGCGATTGCTGACCGACTGAGCACGCCCACGCGCTACACAGCTAGAGCTACCCTTTTTTTCCTTCGCTCTATTTTTTCCCGCATGCGTGTAAAGGAGTTCCCTTTTTCTTGCAGCTCGGCGGCTAAGTAGGCCATCTTTGAGCTTGATCTCTCTCTCTCTCTCTCTCTCTCTCACTCTCTCACGTGAAACTCTTTCGGTGAAAACGAGCGACGCATACTTGATGAAGGTAACACGATATATATTATATGCGCCCATAGTCCAATGCCCCGCTGCTGCGTGCGGGCTTCTTTTTCCTTCTGCGCAACCTCGCTATGTGTTGTTGACGCGCACAAGGACGAGAAAGCGAGGGCGCTGACGCTCGTTGTACGAGGCGATTTTATATGTACACCGACTACTGCTGTTGCTCCCTCATGCTAATGTCATTCACCGAAAGAAATATCTTCTAACAACCGTCAAGAGTTTCACCGTGAAAATTACCGTGCGCTACGGTTAAGCTAGAACGTAAAATTTGTAACGGAAATTCGTAGACTTTGTAAAATCGTCATGGTCAACGTCAACGTTCCCCTTCCTCAAAATCAACAAATTCAATCGATAAAACAGAGCCGATTCCCCTTCGTAATACTCTAGAGTTCGGATTATGAATTTCGACATCCAATTTCATCATTTTTTGTGAATTTCTTTAAACGCCTTGCACAATCTTCACAATAACGTAATCTTTGTTTACTTTCGTCTAACTCACTTTCAAAACAAAGCACATTATGACATATTCGACTTTCAGCGTTGTTTCGCGTTAGTGTTAGTGAATTACCAGTTAGTTACCATCAGTACATGTTAACGCGATGGGGTCATCAATTTCATCGAGCATTGTACGAAAATTCTCGAAAATCCTGAGAAAATTTGTATATTATTATCACAATAATTGTGAATGAAAAATGTTAGAGCGCGGCACAGTGATCCGCACGGCTTGGATGTCCCAATTTTACCACAACCATTACTGATTTTCAAGCGAAATGGCTTGCCACGTAACGGTTATCGATCGGTCTCTGCACTTGGCCGCACCGACGCTAATGTTACAAGAGCTAATAAGTGCTCTTGGAATAAATTTAAGTTCCGTTAGTTGTAGAAGGAATGATAAAAAAAGGTGATCGCAATCTTACGGATGCCGTAGAAAAATTGACGGTGCCAAGATTCGAAAAAGAAAAAGTAGACAAAAGAATGACGAGGTCTGATTTCTCATGTATAGCTGATGATCGAGAAGGCGTGAAGAGAGAGCGGGCGAGCGAGCGAGCGGGAGAGAGGGAAGGTGACACGCCGCGCTCGCTGCCAGGTGCAGCCACATAAAGGAGAGCCACCTGTCTTCTCCGCGGCTTCGCGGCTTCACGGCTTTTCGAGTCCTCGATTCTATCTCATCAATTTCCTGCATACAGGGAAACGTCGTAGAGCCAATAGGCACAGGCGATTCGTCGGATTTGCCCCGCGCGATCGAACCACATGCCCACCGCCGTTTAATTAGATAATAGTCGTCCGGGGTAAACCATCGATCGATCGTTCGAATGTAGAAAAAGAAAGCGGCACACGTACCATTAATTTGAGCTCGCAGGCACTATAATTATCAGGGTGTCCTTGAGAAAATTATACACGACGGGCGGGAAAGGAGAGAGGGATTTATTTCGGAAAATTCAGCAGAGAGAAAGATTAAAGAAGCCCCTCGAAGACGGATTACAATTGCACTCTCGTCCAACAGCCGTCGGTTGCGCAAAAGCTAAGCTGCGATTGCACAAGAACAACGCGCACCGATAAAAGTTTGATGCCGCGTGTGTCTTCAAGCATCATAATGGCAATTTGAACGAGCGATAAGGAAGAGCCTCTATGAAAAGATTAGAGCATCGCGGTTTGTTATTTCTCATTAGGCTCGATTATTCGATCGGCTGTAATTGCTAGAAAAAATAGCGGTATACGTAGAAAGTGTTTGCGTGCTTTCTAACGACCAAATAAATACTCGCGAGTGCTCGCGTGACTCGCCAGAAATACTCGACGATCGACGGTACATCGAATCGATACGGCATCGCTCGTAAACGCGAGACCTTTCGGTAAAACTTTAAAAATAGATTAAATATTGACAGAGAGCATGTATTTTCGAGGCTGCGGTCAAAAGTCTCCAAATTGAATGGTTGCCCAATCGTGCACAGAGTGGCACTTTGTGTCTCTTTGAGGCAAGCGGAGCCAAGATGGGGATGACCGGAGTGGCGCCTGCACGCCGGCCTAACGTCTCTTTATCGGCGTACGAGCTACATCGAGAGCCTTGTGCACATCTGCAAATTCGGGACCGACGAGATAACGACCCCAGCGATTCGCTGATAACTCGCGACTCGCGCGCGGTGAACGTCCGCAAACACAAACATCCACACGCGCGCACGTACACGTACGTACGTATAGGTGCGACGAATACGAGTTCTTTTCTTTTTTGCAGTGCGGCGAATCATCAGCGCGATCGCTCGCACGTTATCGACGATAAAGAGGTCAAAGCACTCGCTCGTTCTGAAAAACCCGGTTCTCGTAGCTCTTTTCGCGCGTACGCGCGTGCAACTGTGGAAAAGTGTGCGCGATCCAATGTCCGAGCACACGGCAAACGACTCGCCATTGCCAAAAACAGCAAGTCGGCGGGAATTGCATCGGGCCGAAAGTAGGATGAGAAGAGAACAAAATGAAATTGGTTTGCAGAAGCGATGTCGTAAGCGATGGCGCGGCGCGGCGCGGCGCAGCGAGCAGTCACCTCACTCTTCAAATTGTGTCATTATCTGCACACTTGTACATACGCAGACCCCGTTTCTTCGTGAGCGCGCGTGAAATTGGCAGCTCGAGGAAAGTGGGGGCCAATGACCCTGCTGCCAGCCGCGTGCGCTCGCGAATGCTACAAGTACGTGCGTGCGTATATACAGAGAGTGAACTTGGAAGAGTGTCGGGTAACTTACTTGCCGAAGAAGAGGCGAGGGAGTAAGAAAAATCATTAGGGAATGACTGGCTTGCGTTGCGTGACGCGCAACGCCCCCCGAGGGTCGATGACCAACTTGCAAGGTCGCGAATATTTGGACTTATCGCGACCACGAGTCAGCAGTATTTAACGACAACAACAAAAGTCGTTTACGTAATGCTGATATATGACCAACCTCACAAAAAAATGCATCACATCGCGCCGACTTTTGCCACATTTTCAAATTCACTTCGCGTTTCTTCTTTTGCAATTACATTCATTTATTTTATTAGTTCAATCTAAAATGCTAAAATTAATAACGATAATTTCACTAACGACGTATTAATATACGCAACCGACTTATCGCTGTAATTACATTTATATTTTGAAGCTCTGCAAGAGCCAATAATGTGAATAAGAATGAAACCGAAAGGCATGGTTTCCGGTCTACGAGGACTCGTAAAATTGGAATTCCAAGTGAAATAAACGCTATTATTTTTCGTATTTAGAAGCCCGTAAAAGTAAGGCTTTCGAATCTATCGATGCGAGCACTTGTACGGGCATAATATTTTTCAGTGGGCCACACATTATAGAAATATAAGCGAATTAATGCATTTTTTTGCGATGAAAGAGAAGTTTGCGAAGTCGGGTCTGCGCTTAACGACGTAACGATATGGCAACGATGGCTTCACCTATGCGGAGCGGTCAACAACTGTTCGCCAGCAGCAGGAGCGGCTCGAAAGAGGATCAGAGCGCGCATTCGGGATGAGGAGAGTGCCTAAGGGCATCGTTCTTCCTGAAACAAAGGCAAACGAGAGAGAAAGAGAGAGGAAAAGAAGCGAGGATTTACGAAGGATCATTGCGTAACGAGCTAAGCGGCTAAGATTGCCTTCGGTATTACCAGCACTTGGCCGTCGCGCGAGCCAGCGCCCTGGCGTGTATTTGTTTTTTTACTGGCGAACAAAGGTTCAATGCACCTGTGCGGCGCGAAAAGCGTCGCACGAGCACAGCGCTCCATTATCGGCGCTGGGATCTGCCGCTGCGGCTTCGAGCGATTCTTCCAGGAAGCGCCGTTCTCCTTTTCTTTGCCGAGCAACCGCGAAAGACCGCAAACGTTGATCGTCGTCCGACAGCCCTAATTAAAAGTACATCCACGCCTAGTTTCGCCTCTCTCTCTCTCTCTCTCTCTCTCTCTCTCTCTCTCTCTGGGCGTTCACCTCGCTTCGGTACGCACATCGATTTCATTCCCAAGGACGCGCTCCTATTCGCTCCTAGCGCCGCAAC